AGAGAGAGAGAGAGAGAGAGAGAGAGAGAGAGAGAGAGAGAGAGAGAGAGAGAGAGAGACAACGTGCCAGATAAGCAAGAAAATGATAGATCCAGAAAGGTCAAATGCCTGAGATAGCTGAAATCACCTCAATGGAAAATGCAAAAGGACCCAAGTTAGATTAGATGATTTAACTGATGTACAAAAACAATACTCCCAACGCTCCACCTCTCATCTGGTGGAACCCTGTAGTTTGGAAACCAGAAGAGGTGGTTCTCAAAAAGGGAAACAATGACAGAATTCAACCTGGTGGCCCAGGCTCAGAAAATCCACCAGCAAGTCACAAGTTCAAATCCTGTTATGCTCAACAGGGCTAAGAGCTATCTTTTTTTTTTTTTTTTTTTTTTGGAACTCTGCACCGACAGATAAGTGCTATCTTACCTTGCAAGAACAGAAGTTCAGGGTAAGGAGAGAGTAGGACGGACTATTGTTTTCCTCCGAACATAACACATATGCATTGTATTCGAATATGAGGGCTGTTCGAATAGAACACGCATGCGTGGTATTCGAATAGAGCAAGCTATGTGTTACATTCATTTACAACGTACATGTGCTATGTTCGGGGGAAGACAGGAAGGCAGACATGGACTACCACCGTCTTTCCCTGAATAGAACATATGGTCCTTGATAGCTCTATTTGGGCCATCTTGCAGCCTAGATACCGCCATAATGACCATACGTTCAATTCGGGTGAAGACGGCAAGCGTAGTTCCATTGTTTTCATTCAACAAATGACCTTTCTGAGGGTATGAACACCATTCTAAGGGCATAGGCACTTTCTGCTGAACATCTGACGTATTTTCGACAAAGAACAGATCTTCTAGTGTGTACTAAATTATACAAACACTGAACAAAACCACTTGTCACATTTCCCCTGCAAAGTCCTATCTATTGCAAATCTGAGCTATACTAAACTATACAAACAGTGAATAGAACTATTCGTTGCATTCCCATGCGAAGGCTTATCTACTGCAAATTTGAGCCACTGTCCACAAAAAAACACATACCAATGTACTAATGGGCCTAGCTCAGTCGGTACATCCATGAGCTGTTCAAATGCAGACCTAAGTTCGAATCTGGACAGGACTAGATGTCAAGATAGGACCGAAGCCTTGTGGGTTGACCCCACGAGCATTGTTTTGCACGATTCATCCAATCATCCATGAAGTGTTGAAATGCAGACCTGAGTTCGAATCCGGACGGAACTAGATGTCTAGATAAGACCGAACCCTCGTGGGTTGATCTCACCAGCCTAGCCTGGTTGGCGCATCCGCGAACTTTTGAAATGCAGACCTGAGTTTGCATCCGGACGGAACTATATGTCGAGATAGGGCCGAATCCTTGTGGGTGGGTTGATATCACCAGCATCATTTTGCACTACTCATCCAATCAGATAAGAGGGTGAGAGAATGTCAGAGATTACATCCACTACTCCACATGCAACTCGAAAACGAAGTCACAAGAGTGCCATTTGTGAATTTAGACAAGCCTGTCAGTTTTACGATGACCGTTACCTCTTCCAAAAAAAGAACGAAAAACCAGGTACCAATACATACACTGCTATTATATAGAAGACTGAAACGAGCTGTGTATTTCGTCCCACCATGCACCTGTAAAAATCAGGTTGCTGTACATACCGGACAGCTGGCGGCTGCCCTTTGCATGAGGGTACGATCAGGTAACCAGTGGAAGTCCTTCTTGACAGCTTACCATCCTCGCTAAGAATAGCTCAGTGGTGGATACTCCTGTACTCAGGAACGGAACCTGAGGAGGGGTGAGCTCGTCTTCTCAGTTATGGGAAAGCGAGGAACCCAAAGGGTGGTAGGAGGAGGTATTCATGATGCATAAAAGCGCCACAACAGCTCTCTCTCTCTCTCTCTCTCTCTCTCTCTCTCTCTCTCTCTCTCTCTCTCTCTCTCTCTCTCTCTCTCTC